AAAAGCCTCCTTACAATGGGTGACGTACAATTCTCGGCCTGACTTGTCATTCAGCTGACATTCACTTCTTAAGTACCTTCCAACAGCCTCTTTTTTTTACCCTCCCGCAAAGAAATGAAAATGTTGTTGTTTTGTGAGTTCAGGGAAAGATCCTTTTATTGAAAGAGCTCTGTGCATGGGGATTAAATTTTTGCTAATTGCTTAAACGCCATCGACATCAAGACTCGGTTGTTTTTGGAAAAACAAAAACACAAAGAAGATGGGTTAGGACGGTGGACATTTTGTTTGTACTTTATAGTGCACATCTGTTGCATTCAGTTTAAGTCATTTTCGACCCAGCAGGGGAAAGGTTGTGGATACATTGGCATTCTATGTTGTGGCTGGTCTGTTTCTTATGGACTGTGGATCAGAGGCATAGCAACCCTAGCCTTGTTTTTCCTGGGCAAAGTGTTGGTTTTGATGCAGTCCACTTGCAGCTTGCTGATTGTGGACCGGGGGTGTGACTCTAAAAAGCAGGACCCCCTTGAGGCTTTGACAGGGGTCCTCTCCTTGGATTCATCATAGAAGGCGCCCCCTTTGACCTGCCCCCGCTGTCCGTTTGAATCAGAGCCTGCCACAGAGCTCTTTCAATAAAGATCATTTCCACTGAACTCACAAAACAACAACCAATTTTCATTTTCTTCTGCGGGAGGGTAAAAAAAAAAGAGGTGTTGGAAGGGTACTTAAGAATGAATGTCAGCTGAATGACAAGTCGGCCGAGAAATTGTACCGTCACCCATTTAAGGAGGCTTTCAGACATCACCATAGAAATTCACATTAAATACCCTCCACATCTGCTGACTTGCAATAGCAATCCCACTCAGCACACAGCTGCTCCAATGACTCTGAAAAATATTGAAATTGTCTTTTCTATTTAAAATTTTTTCTACCCAGAATAAAATGGCTGCATAATAAACTGGATGAACCGGCAGATGACCACCAATGCACACGTCCCTTTGTCATAAATCAGACCGAGGGCCAAAGCTACCAAATCCAATTGTTGTTAGTAAGATGAGAACAAAAGTGTATGCATCAAAACTGAGAAGTAGAGAAATTTTCTCAATAGAGTTGACAGAAAAATGCGGGGCCAAAAGATCAAACATCTCCTCCAGGCTACTTTCTGGCTGCTTTTGGTCTGCTTGTAAGTAAATCAATTGCCTGCTCAACAGAATCTACCTCTGCCTATCACAGCTACACTGCAATGTGATCCCAACTCAATTATCACTGCAAACGCTTAACAGAGAACGCTTTACAGCTGCAAAATTAGGAGCTGCTCTAAAACAGAATACTTAATGTTGACTGAATGCCAAAAACCATGTAACTACATTACAAAGCATTTCTTTTCCACTACTAACTGCTGATATTGCAAACGAGCCTGGCACTATTTAATCCCACATAAACAGCATCTGCTTTTGACTAGGAGTTCATGCTTGACCCTTACTGCAAACTCACTGCTTGACAACAAGCATAAACGTGCGTTTTGTAGAGATGATACAGTGTGAGCTGAATATCTGGTTCTGAAAAAATGCAACGATAGATGTCGTGTGCCTGTGTTAATTAGTGAATGAAACTACATCAGAGATGGATTTCAAAAATAAAGTCAAATGATCCTCATACATCCTCCCAAAATGTCTTGTAAAAATATTAAATCATAGGAGATGAATTGAAATAAAGCAACTCTCAAAGTGAAATCCCACAGGATATTGAAATTGCCAAACCAAATGCAGTACCATGCCTTTTGATGTAAACAGCTTGGCACTACCTGTGATGATTCCACTCCCACTAAAATAAATAAATAATTTTTACAATGCATGACAAAGCCTCGGTGCATTACCCTCAGAACTAAATCGCATCTTCAACAGAAACATACACCTGAGGGCTCTGGTTGGTCCTATCAAAGCAACAGCTATTCTCATCAGCATCAGGTTGCTTTATTACCCCGCTGGTCTGCATGGACAAATGGAGTCTTCGTCATCCTTTTCAGCATCCCCTATGACTGTGCATCATCCTCTATTATCGGCTAAAAGCCCTTTAGTCATCCTTCACAGGCGAGAGGAAGGGGTGCTGAACATCCTTGCAAATGAGAACTTGTCACTCAGCCACATGCAACTTAATTCCTCAAGCTGCACTGGTCCTTTCTTTCCTCTACACCCCCACCCCCCACGACCTGCTAACCCTCCCTTTTTCTCTGGATTTAAGTTGGATACCAGGACTTGAATAGGGTGTATTTCAAGCATGCTAACAGAACTGAAGAACAGAGGCTGATTGCTTGGGCCAAATCCCCCATTGCTTACCCTGAGCAAGCAAACTGCCTTCTTTCCTGTGTGCGTCTGTTGGGAACAAAACTACCTCTGCCTCTATGTGCATTGAGAGGAAGGAGTCGGCTTGAAGGAGACATAGGACACAAGATAAGTAGAGGTGTAGTCATTATAGGATGTCTTGCCACACCTCAAATCACCTACCTAAAAATCAAAGCACATATCGTCTTATGCTTGGAAGTGAGCGTATGGCTTTGTGACATTAAGCGGGAAACAAGAGATATTAAGAACAAGTATTTTTTTTTTTTTTTTTTTTTTTTTTTTATATTAAAGATCCAACTCTCTTGATGCCGAGCAACACACTGAATCTTAATACAATGAACACTGACATGAAACTCCTGCTCATACTTCAACTTGCAATAATCCCTGCTTAATGCTGTGGAACCATGCTGTAACTTACAATCTCCAACTCTGCAATAGTGAAAAAGCTCAGTCCCACTACACCATAACAGTTACAGTTGTTAAACAAGACACATAATAAAATGCACCAGACCAAGTAGAATAATAATAAAAGTGGTTAGCTGAGAAACGTTGTAACCTGATCTGGACAATCTGAACAATATTAATAGGCTACACCTGCTGAAAGATAGTGATCTCTTCAGGCCAGTGGTGAATCTGCTGAGCACTTCATTGGTCTTCACATGCAAAACTACTAAAGACTAAAGCTCTCCTGAACTCAATTACAACCTTTTATATTTGCTAATGAATTCATCCCCTTGTAATTACATGAATATCATTAAATTGTACAGGCCTGTAGAGGTAAGTTTAGTTATATGAAGATTAATATTTCTGTTATGTTCTAATTTTGCCCTTGAAGTAAACCCTTAGGAGTTCATTTTTACCAGATTTTCTCATTTAACTCCCCCATCACAGGCAGGTAGTATGACTAAGCCTCGGTTCCAGGTTATCTTTTTAAAATAACGGTCCCAGCGGCTCCAACAGCACGATCCAGCGAAACATTTCTCTCTCCCTTACCTTCACTTTGATGCTGTACTCCGCGATGATTTCTTTATTCCTTTTTTGAACCTTCGGCGTGGACATTTTCTGATCTTCTGCGTTCCGAAGCTTGTTTGTAAACTTCTTGTTTTTTTAAAAAAAAAAAACTTGTTGTCAACAAGCGGGATTCCTTACAAACAAGCCGGACGCATCCACACAGGAGACGGAGAAAAAAAATGAACCACGAGAGGAAGAAAAGGTGCGACACAAAATGGCACTTTGAGAGGATTTAACTCTGCAACAAGCTCGAATTAGAGCAAGAGGAAAGGTTTAGTCCTTTCATTGTTCCTTTCCGGTGGATACGAGGTGGCATATACAGCAGGGCCAATGCGCAATCCTGCTCAACCAATGAATTCCACTCAACTATCGGGAGCAGATCGGCGCGGCGCAACAGCACTGACGCTGCTGCTGCTACCACAGGAAGAGAGAGGGGGGGGGGAAACAATCACGCAAGTTTCTGGCGTCTCTTGTGGGGGCTTTCACTGCCTCTACGCAAAGTAGACTGCCTCAACCCACTTTCCGGATGGCTTTAAAGGTCGGCATTGAACTGTGTGTGACTGGTTTTTCTTGGTAGTTGGTTGCCAGTTTGGACCCGCCCACACCACACATTACACACACATACAAGCACACACACAGCTTATTTTCCACCCCTTCGCGCTCGCTCTCCCTCGACGGTTTTCTCCAACCAACTCCCAGCAGCTCAGGAGGCAGACAGGGCAGGCCGACTGCAGCACACAGGCAGCCAGATCCAGGCAGGAAACAGAAGAGGAAGAAGAGGGAGGGATCTACCCGCACACACACACACCCACACACACACACACACACACA